TTTGTGAAGGCAGGAGGAAAAAAGCTTCCGCGATCACCGTCTCCTCTGTTCCTCCAAACCCGAGAGGGGTCTGCCTGCAGGCCTCCACTCTCAGGACAGTTCCGGTGTAGGCTCCACTGTCAGGACACCTCCACTCTCAGTACAGGAAGTGATGATTCTGACGAACACGTTTTTTTCCCCGCCCCCCGAAGGACTCGTCTGATGGAAATTTTCAAATCACAATGGAGACTCATCACGGAGGTGATGAGTCCGCTCACCATGCACTTTGGGTCGGCCTTGGTCAAGCCCTTTTGACCCCCCCAGCCTGGTTCTCGTAAAAGTTGACTTAGCCATTTTTCGCTCAAATGACACCATGGAGGAATGTAACGGGAGTTGACAGGGGACTCTGCCCGACTTACGAGTGCCTATTTCCCCCTATTTATCTCTTGTTTATTTATTTCTAGTTTTGTTTTATTGTAAAATGCCTTGTCTTTTATGCTGCTGCAACAAAAACAATTTCCCAAATTGGGATCAATAAAGTACCATCTTATCTTATCTTCCCCGGTTTTATACATTTTTCTTTTTTTTTTATATTTCACCCGGTTCCTTCTACCGACTTCTGACTCAGGGGTCCCACCACGGGTCCCGCAGCAGGGTGGAGGTTCCCGGCTGGAACCTCCCCACCTCCGCCGCGGTGCACCCGGCAAACACGGCAAATACGGTTGTTTCTCGAACCCTCCACTGTTGTCTAGCGGGTGTAACTAAAATACAAGATGTCGTTATTTATATATATAAATATATATATCTATATATATATAGATATAATAAGTGTCAGTGCGATTTTATTTTGTATTAGCATTAGCGTGCATTTCCTGTTCGGAAAGTGGTGCTGTACTGAGAGTAAACAATACAAGGTGTCCCTATTTTTATATATATATATATATATATATATACATATGTATACAATAAGTGTCAGTAAGGATTTTATTTTGTATTTGCGTGCATTTCCTGTTCGGAAAGTGGCGCTGTACTGATAGTGGCGATTTTATTTTGTAATTCTTAGCGTGCATGCACTTCCTGTCCTGAGAGTGGAGGTGTCCTCAGAGTGGAGGTGTCCTGAGACTGGCGCCTGCAGGCATGCTCCCATGCCAAACCCCGCCCCTTCCCTGAAAATAATGAGTTAACTTTATTATTCACTTAATCACCGATTGAGATATGATGAAGCTAACTTAATCTCCTACATTCATGGGATTTATGTAACAGTAAGACAGAGAATAACTGTGCACCCACATGCAGTATTTTTGTTTTTACTGTATATGCTGTTGTAAATACTCCTGTTGTCTGCTGTGTTCAGACTCAAGTCATGTTAGTGATGCCACATTCAGGACCTTCAGTGTCCTTTTTTTAACAGAAGACCGTTGCTAGAAGCTGCAGCTAGACTGCAGAAGTATTAGATTTTTTGTTTTTGAGGATGGAACAATTTCACACACAGATACTGTATAGGGATGCTCGAGCTATACAATTGATTTATTTTGACATTTATGTTATTGATTTCTGAGGCACTTTCTAAATAATAAAAAGAGAGTTCATACTGTATGTATTTACTGCATGTATTCATTGATGAAAAAGAAGCCATGTGCAGTAATATAGAAAATTGAGGAGGAAACGCATTGGTATGAATCGTGATGCATCGCGATATCGAATCGAATCGTTGACAGGATAATCGTAATCGAATCGAATCGTGACACCAGTGAAGATGCACAGCCCTAGTAATAATCATCACTGATTGTCATTGACTGACTGTTAGACATTTGTATACATTCATTTAAACATTAAAATGATCAAATAAACAAATCACACAAATTGGTGTGCAGGGTAGTGACGACTACCTGATTTGCATTATCAACAAGCTACTGTACTTTACCCTGTCGGGTGACAGTGGGTCAATCTGGTTTTATAGTCAAACACTGGCAGCCATTAAAGTGAATTGCACCAATAAAAAATCAGTTATGTGCAAATGGCTTACATAATGCTAAGCATAAAACCATGAGCATTAATCATAGATCTACAGATAACGAAAGTTGTTATAGTTGGCAAAGTGTGTGGCAGAGATAAAGAGAATGATAGCGTTTTCTACAAACATAAAGATATTGACAGCAACTGATACCTCCTTATTGTTGTAACTTCTCTAAAAGGGTGAGTGTGTGTGGGTGTGTAGGTAGAAAGTTTGGTTCTGCCGCCCTCAGGCCTTATATCTGACACCAGGTGTGTCAGGTGTGTGTGTGGGTGTGAGGAAGCGAGAGGAAGAGAGAAAGAGAGATAACAAAATACAGGATTTCTCGTGAGGAAAATCATTCTGAACTAATTATAAGACTTAATTGTAGTCTTTGGATTCCCTTTTCTTCTTTATAGAGATTATACATGTTGTAATTATGGAAGGAAAAACCTACGTTTTTGTGATGTTCATTTTTTGTAACAACACTAAGGATTTCTCTGTTCAAACAGGAACTTAACAGGTTAGTAGCTACATGACTTTTGCACTCCACTAAACATGTTTAATTCATGCTTCGAATCAAGATATTGTGTAAGTGTATTTGTCAATGCTAGCATTAGCAAAATAAAAAGTCAAAAAGGCATAGATGCTTTTTCACCAAAGCAGTCAACACTGTAACATTGCATTTTGAGTGAAGTAATGTCGAGCTGCAGAGGAATCCTAGCCTAAAACGTGTCTACTACTCACTTAACAAAAAAAAGGTGTTGGTACAGATCCTCTGATAGAAGAAACTCTAAAAAATGATAATTTTGAATAATGATGCATGATTAGTCACCTACATTAACCCCAACATGTGCCACAAAATGACATCCTGCCTTTTTCAGTTACATATTGTACCTACTCACACTTTATATAGGGTATATATGTTTGTACAAGTGCCAACACATTTGCTTGAATGAATGAGAAATTAAACTCTGTTTTGAATAAACTTATTGTGAATACATTCGAACTGAATCAATAAAAAAAAGTAAGATTTGGATTGCAGGACTACTTATAACAGCAGAGTATTTTACAATTGGGTGTTGATACTTGTATTAAAGTATACAATTTGAGTACTTCTTTCACCACTGCATATCAGTAATTCAATCATCATTATATATATAGAAATCAAATATTTTCGATTGTTATATTTTAACAGTGCAGTCAGTTAGCACAATGTCAACCATGTTATCATCTCACGTTTTCTCGCGACATTTTGTCAAAAAAGGAGATTTTTGAGAACTTTACCCGCTCACCAAAACAAATTCAGCAACCTGCTAGCTTGCTGGGTAAAAAACGACTCCGACAAGTGGCCAGGAATGAGCATCTTCTGTACTAGTTATAAATCGCAAAACCAACGTGTTAAAACGTATATTATTAATACAAGTGTAGTTATATGTGCTACATACGAATTTCCAGTGAGTGTGCCTACCTGTCAATCTCAGCGACTGTCACTTGCTGTCGCCTGCTGTTCCGGTGTGCTCTGCTACTCCAACAAACAGGCTACAAGTTTACAAGTTCTGACATTTGTAACGCTTTAAATGGCGCAAAAGAGACCAAATTATATTTGCAGCAATCCTTGTTGAATGGTATAACTGTCAGCCCTTTCCGAAAACACTGTCTGAGTTTGAGCGCTGGCGTCGGTTCTGTGCTGTCTTTGTACGACACAAAGATCGTTTGTTTTTCTGAAGATGCATCACTCCAATACGTGAAAACAAACCGACTCTTTTTTCTGCACTTGTTTTAGTTAGTTGTTATATTTTCCTATAGAAACAGCTGGGCATAGCTGAATGTGATGAATATATGTTTCCATCTTTGTTTTCTATACTTTATTGTATGAGTTAATACTTTACATTTCCACTTGCTTACAAAGCATCATTTTTGAAATCTTTCATTATAAGAAAATATACATGTTATGACAATCTACATTAAAATAGGATTGCATTATTTTCCCTAATTTGTCCACCACTCTTTATGATGTTATTTGCAGCCGGAATCAGAAGCGAAGTGAGAGCTCTTTAATTCTCTCATATCTCTGGTAAACGTTCAGGCTGTCTGCCCACTCTTAAAGGAACATGCTACAATTTTTGCAATATTCTCCACTTAGTGGGTGAACTTCTAAACTTCTAAAAGCAAGTTTAGAGCTTTGGTTTGCAAAATGTATTCAAACATAATATTCAAATCATGTTTGCCATTTCACCTACAAGCAGTAAAAACGTTACAAAATTAGTTTATCAATGTTGTTCCAATTCAAGCTGAAGTACAAGTGATGGAATTAATCTATGGTAAATAACTTCCCTGACAAAAATAGACTTTTTAGTTCTGACAGGAAGAGGTTTAAGATCCTCTAATGGCGAACTCCATTTTAAACGCAACCATTCACTTCACAACTAACCATAGGCCTACTGAGACTAAAGGTAACAAACTGGAATTAAAAACAATGTTTACTTTGTCTCCATCATCTGGTCAAACGTTGTCACAACTTTTGTTGTCATTGATGAAAAAGGTGTTTAAAGACGCATTGCCGTTTTCAACATTAACTTGTGTTTTAAAAATTAGCGGGCTTTTACAGTATTCATGAATATTCCATGAAATCGACTTAACAGAGTTTAGTTAAGAGATTTATTTGTACCCATTGCATTATTGTACTAACTTTAACTTCTTTTTTTTACAAACGCAATGTATTCAAAAGTTTTTTCTCAAAGTTTAAGTATAAAGATCCCTCAAATATTATGAATGTAATTGGATTTAGTAATGTTCTTCTGTATTGACTATCTCTATTCAATACAATGTTATTGGGGAACTATTCATGGAAGGTATATCTGAAGAAATAATTTACAGCTCATGCCAAGAGACGTCTTTATGAGAATGTTTGCAATGCGTTATCATTCAAATGAGGTGAACATTGTGTCCAGATGTTACTTTAAAAAGCAGGTTTAAAAACTAGATGACGTTACACCTAACAATCATAACAATACGAGTCAACAGCTGTGATGTGATTGTTTATTGAAGCAACAAAAATGTGAAGCTAAGCAAATTTGTATACAGTCGAAAAAAAAAAAACACATTCTTTATCCACAAATTCAGAATTTTGAAAGTCCAACAAAGACTGGTATTGCGACCTCATTTCTATGTTTGTATCCTCAGCAAGATGGCAATATTAGCAATGTAACTTCCACGACAGATCAGTTGAATCACTCAAACTCTGAATGGTTATTGGACCATTTTAAAAAGGCTGGTGATCTAAAACAATTCAAGTTGTTTTGCCGAGGCATGGTGTGTTTCATACAAAAATAAGAATTCAAGTGACCAAATGTAGCAGATTAGCTAAAGGAAGTTAACTACTGTAACATTCAATGTGTAATTTTTAAATCCCATTTACATTGATTTTTTACAATTAACATTCGTCCAGTGACATCATCTAAAAAAAGAAAGTGTTAACAGGTCTTTAACCCAGTAACTTTTGATTTTAGCATACAACAGAAACAAACTAAACGCAGAAATGTCAAAACTAAACAAGCCAAACAAGAATACTCTGCAAACTCTTTAAGTACTGTATGTAGAAATGCAGCTCTACGATGCAGTCATGACACACAAAAAAGGCACAAGGAAATTTTAAACAACAATGAATTCACACAAAGAAGGTAGAATGTAACTTTCACACGGCTGAATCATCAAAAACAAACATTTTTTGTAAGAGTTGACCACCGCTCTGGCCGCAAAAATGTTCGTTACAAAAAGAAAAGGCTTACATAGCATAAAACCGAAAGAAAAGGCGACACGTTATCAGATTAAAATGATACATAAATAAACCCATAACAATTTAAGCTTAGCTTTTTTTATGTTATAAATGTTTTTATGAAGAGCCTACTGCAGAGGATTCGGGACAGATTTTTAGATCTGACCAAAGTGTCTTTTTTTATTTATTTTTTTATTCTGATATTAAATTCAGAATTCTGAGGAAAAAATATCTGAATTCTTAAATGAAAATCTGAAATACTAATAATTTCTGAATTCTGAGAAAAAAAGTCTCAGAATTCTCTTACCACAGACTTTTCTTCTCTCAGAATTCTGACTTTCTCTCAGAACTAAAAACCAAAAAAAAAGCCTTTTTGGCCCTTATCCTCTTCCGTAAGAGCCAATGACTAAGCTTTTCATAAGCGGGAAACAACGTAAGCATCGTGAAATGGGATCTAAAGATGCGGACATGGTGCAGCAATGTTCTGTATATTTACACGCATTATGGGAAACACTGTTCCCGATAATAAAAACATCCACTCCTACAGTGAAATATGGAGGGCACTGCCTCCGATACGGACACATACTGGTAGGAAAAAACTACCTTCTTCTTTTATTCACATTATGGAAGACACTGCTCCCGATAATATTGTCAGGACGAGAAGTGTACATGTGACTTGATGTGTGACCAGGCCTCAACTAAGAGACCAATCCAGTGTCAGTTTAAAAGGAAAACACAATCCAGAGTTGTGCGTTACGATTGTTCGTACTTCAGTCCAGGTCGACATGTACACTTCTTTTTAAGCAGATGCTGCTCTTGATATTTCAACAGTATAACTGTCATAATTATGGAAGGCTCTGCTCCCGATAATTAAACACATTCTTTTTCATTTTTTATAAAAGGCAATAAAAAATACTATTTATAGTGAACCCTGCCACTGATAAATAAATAACACAATAAATAGACGTACGGTTTGTTTCAGTGCCTTCAGACCCTCCCCTTGGTTTTTCAAAGGCCTTCATTTTTTATTATTGATTGTTGCGTGGACTTTTTTTTGTAACGATTCCGCCAAACTTTTAAACAAGTTCCGTGTAGGGCTGGGCGATATTTTTTAACCGCAATATCGTGAAGATATTGTAGGGTTGACCATTGGTGCATATAAAAAAACAATGAGAATTTGGATAATTGGCATCAGTAATGTCAATTCAACAACTTCTAATAAGAAACAAATAGAACTCCTAGAACAGTAATGGCACATTTAGAAAAAAACATCAATGTATTGTACTGTGCCTTTAAAAGCAGGAAATGACATCATTTTCGATATCCAAGATATTCAAGGAATTGATATTAAAATGGTTTATTGCCCAGCCCTAATTCAGTGCAACAGAACTGCTGTTTGAGTGTTATTTCATCATCTCTTCTATTTAGGCAACTCCCGAATTTCTGACGGGGCTTCAGCAGCAGTAATATTACCAGCAGTTTGGATTTGTAATCATTATGCTCTTTATCTTATATTATCATACTGGCATTTTGTTCTTCTCCGAGCTGCTTTACACAGACTTACTGTGACTACATTGTAAGTGTCACCTATAGGACCATTTGAAGCTAATTGTTGCTAGCACCAGAGTATTCAGAATACTGCATTTCATTGAAACGAAAAAACATCCTTTTTGTTAAGACGTAAGGCTTTTTTTTTTTAAAGAATTTCAGAAAGGAGGAACATGAGCTCATGTCTCAAAGTTGAATGAATTACTGAACGGCTCCACTTTAAATCTAAGCTTAAATGAATTTTAAAGCTGTTTTACACTGGCGTTTGATCCTCTCAAATGATGAACAAGGGAGGAAGTGGGGGGGTTACTTTTTTTTAGATTTCGTTATCAAGAGACCACACGTCCCCTGCCAGTGAGTTGGCGCAGCCCTGGATGGTCCAGGTGGCGAGGGCGAACTGGCTTCGGAACAGGTCGGCGTCGGCCTCGGGGTGGTCCATCCTGAGGGCCTCCAGGTGGCCGTGCAGAGCCTGCAGAGTGTGGGGGCCCGAGCCCAGCAGGATGTGGCGGAACGGACTCTCTCTGGGGGACACGTAGGGGGACAGGAAGTTCCTCTCCACCTACAGAAACAAGGCAGAAATAGAATGATGGAAAGGACGTCATTTCCTATGTTTTCAATTTGATTGGATGATTCTTTGATGTTGACATTTCAATACTCAGTCAGGTTTTTTTCAGGAACAATTATTGTCTTTAAGTGTTTTATTACGTTGTTTTACTGCTGAAAAGCAGTTTAAGCAATATGATAAATACCGTAATTTTCGGACTATAAGCCGCGACTTTTTCCCCATTTTTCGACCCTGCGGCTTATATAACGGTGCGGCTAATCTATGGATTTTTACAGCTCCGACGACTTGCTCTGAAAACACGGAGGAACAAAACAACAAACGAGTGAAACAAAGCGTATATTAAAGCCCGGGAAATATACCCGTTTTGACGCTGTTTCAGGAGCGCCTCTAACATTGTTTTGAAGGCCTGTTGCTAGCGGGGGATGCTAGCGGGGGATGCTAGCGGGGGATCCTCGGGCTAGCCCTGTAGACACCGGGCCGAGAGAGCGCAAGGGACCGGGACAGGAGCTCCGCGGGATAACGACCAGGTTTGACTGACCCTGCCAGTCCTATCTTATAACACAAAGAAGACGTAACCTCTCCTAAGTTTGAAAGTTGAAAAGTTTGTGTGTCTGAAACGCTATGTGATACAGTACAGTTTACACAGCACAGTACATGTTCTGTAGCTACTATTGCACTAAATGGTAACACTTGAATACGTTATGCAAATATGCAACTTGTTTGTTGAAATGTTAATAAATGGGAGCTTCCTCAAACAGCCATCTCTTTCCCGACAATCCCCTCTGTGCACGAACCCTTAGATATGGTAATTAAACATTAAAACACCTGCGGCTTATAGTCCAGTGCGGCTTATATATGTACACATCATTCAATTTAGCTGCTGCGGCTTATATTCAGGTGCGCTTTATAGTGCGAAAATTACGGTAGTTCCCTTTTATGCCCCTTAAAACTTGGTTTAATGAAGGCAAAAACAAAATGAAAGTTTGTAAAGGCAAGCTTCGTTTTTTGGTTTAAAATTAAAATAATTAAAATGGTGCGATCACAATAAATTGATAGTGGCCTGGCAAAATAAACAACACCTCATAATCATTTTCCGGAACTCACTTTTACTATAAGGGTTGTCATCAGAAACTCTTTAACCGGTTTTTCTTTAAAAAAGGTTGCGAAGATCGCTTTTGCTCAATTCTACTATAGGAGTCCCCCCTGACGACACGACCGTCATCGGCCAGATCACAGACGGCGACGAGACGGCGTACAGAGAGGAGGTCGAAAACCTGACATCTTGGTGCCAGGATAACAACCTCCATCTCAACGTCAGCAAAACAAAGGAGCTGATTGTGGACTACAGGAAGCAGCAGAGAGAGGGACACGCCCCCATCGCCATCAATGGGACTACGGTGGAGAGAGTCAGCAGCTTCAGGTTCCTTGGGGTCCACATCACTGAGGACCTGACATGGACTCTTCACACCACCACCATCACCAAGAAAGCTCGACAGCGGCTCTTCTTCCTCCGCAGGCTGAGGAGGTTCAAAATGGGTTCCAGGATACTCTGCAACTTCTACAGGTGCACGATAGAGAGTATCCTCACTGGCAGCATGACGGCCTGGTACGGCAGCTGCACCGACCTCGATCGTAAGGCATTACAGAGGGTGGTGAAAACTGCACAGAACCTTTACTCCCAGCGGCTCAGGAAGAAATCCCTCCGGATTATAAAAGACCCCCATCACCCCAGCCACAAACTGTTCTGTCTGCTGCCGTCTGGCAGGCGGTACCGCAGCATCCGGACTAAAACCACCAGATTCAGGGACAGTTTCATCCCGCAGGCAATAAGACTGTTAAACACCTGAACTGCTGAAACAATTTCATAACATTCATCTGCTACTTAGTAATTATTTATCTATTATCTAATATATCATTCCAATAACTTTTATATAGACTCGTATTGCACTATTCCACTTTTTTTTAACTATTTTTCTTTTTGTATTACTTTTAATATAGTATATTTTAATATTGTTTTAATATTGTCTGCTTATCTGTATTATTGTGTTGCATTGTTGGAGAAGCCTGTGACCTAAGATTTTCAACGACATAATTACTCTGTAGCTATGTTAGTTTGACAATAAAGAACCTTGAACCTTGATGTCCAGAACTAACTTTTTAGATACTCATCTAGCCTGGTTCTTACCGCCATGATGCGGTCATTAAGGGTACGGCACATCTCAATGTCCTCCATGTTGCTGTTCTGGATGTCTGCTGCCAGATCTCTGGAGGCCCGGCTGTAGGAGCCGGAGGCCGACGTCAGCCACTGCATGGTCAGCGCCTTGGGCAGCAGCTGGGGCTGCATCTGGAACACAGAGAGAACACACAGGTCGCTAGGTGCTCTGAGGAAGCAGGAAGAATAAAGGGTTGCACATCTTCCAAACACCTCATCAGGAAGCATTTGATTTATACGTAGTAAAATAATATCAGTGTTTCCCCTAGGATGGAGTCATAGCAGCGGTGCTAAGGCACGTGGGCCTATCATAATGTGAGCGCGGAGCGCGTGGAATTTTTTAGTGTGTGCACGTGCGAAGTGCGCCCCGCCAATTTGTTTCTATGTGTCTGCCAGCACAAGAAAGGCTCTTGAGGCCTAGTACCAGGGCCGGTTCTAGACAATTTGCTGCCCTAGGCGAGATTTTATATATAAAGAATAAATGAAAAATCTCTACAAAAGACAAATACACTCGCGACCGCCTATGTCTCCTATGCCAAAAATCTAGCCTAGTACATACAGTGGCAATGTCTCAAGATTCAGCAAAAATACACCTTTATTGAACATACAGTAACACAAATACTACAAACCCACATAACAAACAATCAAAAATGAATAAGGGTCGCCACTTATTATTAATACGTTTTCTTTTCTTTTTTTGGGTACCTGGCTGGCGCCCCCATAGCAGCGGCGCGCATATTTCAGCAGCGGCGCTGCGCCGCCACTATTTGTATATAGGGGAAACACTGAATATTTATAACTTTGTTTTTGTTCTTTTTATAAAAAACTGATAGAATCGTAATGTTTTGCAAAATAATGAACATTTAAAATTTACAGGGCTGTCAACAAATATATTTAAAAATTTAAATTGAAGAAAAAACATTCAAGCAACATAATATATCCTTTATTGGGAAGGAACAAAAAACTCAAGTATGGTACTTTATGAGACCCTTTAATGCTTTCCTGTAGTGTGTTATATAGGTTTTGGTGCATGTAAATGGTCTGCAAAGGCTACAATCCTAAAGTTCCCTACAGAGGGAGTTTCTCTCCCACACACTTCTACTTTTACTTAAAGGGGACCTATCATGCAAAATGCACTTTTGTACGTCTTTTATACATGAATATGTGTCCCCGGTGTTCCAGGGAACTCACCAAGTGTCAGAAAACACAACCCTCTCTATTTTCCTCCATACCCAAATCTCTAAAAAAGCTGCAACGGATCTGATAAAAACTGATCCAGATTTGAAATTTCTCTGACGTCAGGAACGAGGAGCTCCGCCTATATGGCCAACTCTCCACCGATCAGGGGAATGTGGGGTTGGGCCACGGCCGGCCATTGCTGCTCGAAAGCGCTGGAGACGCTGTAGTACATATGCCAGGCCTGTAAGTGGTGCTGTAGTCTGCCACAAAAGCAGCGAAGAAGACTTCCCGCGCATGGTTGCCATGGTTGCCCTTCTGTTTATTCTCCGCTGTGGCTTTTTTTTCTCCCTCCCCGAGGCAAGCGTTTGATCCCGCTGCTTTAATTCAATGCAATCCCTCCCCGTCGAGGCAAGCACTGTAATTCTCTCCGGTTAGTCCACCAGCAGATGACAAACACCCACCTCTCCGCCTCTTCCAAGGAACGAGGGGACCGTGCGGCAGAGTTTCAGTTAGATATTTTTTTCGCCGGTCAACATGTCCGTTAAAGTTTAAATCTTCCGGACAAAATTAGAAAAGTGCCGGTCAAAGGTCTTCTTTGTTATTTATTGAGCTTTAAAACAAATGAATAATGACTCTATATAATAAAACACGGAGGACGGAGATCTCTTTTTCTCCCCCTCTTCTGACAGCCCAGCAGCTGATCTCAAAGCACGCTCCCCTCTCCTGCAGGGGGGCGTGGTCAGTTGCAGCTCATTTGCATTAAAGCTACGTCACAGAATCAGCCCCTTGCAAAATCAGGGCTGGAAAAGAGCAAATAGAGCGAAATGAGGCATGGCTAAAATGCAGGATCTGTTTGGTATTTTGAAAAAAAAAACTATAGGTATGGCCCTACAATATATTGTTCAAATATAGCATGATAGGTCCACTTTAAGTACAGAATCTAAGTACTTCTTCCGCCTTGCCTCTACACACTGCTCCTTTATTTGGCTACTTTACAGAGCTGGACTATCAATTGGGAGTAAAAGAGAAAGAACAGCAGGGTCAATTGTTGGGACGCAAACAAACAACTTACCCTCAGCATAGAATTGACCTTGTTGTTGATCTGACCCACGCGATTATGTATGATTTTGTTGTACTTCTCCACGTCCATGCGCAGCAGATGATCATGGACCAGCCTCAGCACCATGTGACCTGCGACCCGCGTGGCTGCTTCAGCCAGCTCAGGCACCTTGTTGTTGGTGGCCTCGTTCAGTTTCTCCCGGGTGTCCAGCGTGGTGCCGAAGTACAGGTAGTCCTGAGAGGGGAACACAAGACGTGTTCAGAAATGGAGATGACACAATCTTTGATGTAATGGCCCGATGTGAAAGTCCAATTAGAGAAGGTTTTACAGACAAGTTTTAAATGTCCGTGTGGCTGCAGAAATAGTTTTTTGGAGAGGTAGAGCTGGGTGTAATTTGCATAACAGCAAACATCATGGTGACATTGAGGATTAAGAAACTGGATTATTGTTTTGTTGATTCTTCAAGTTTTTATTTACTCTACGTATAAAAAATATGCATTTATTTTCATTGATTAAAGAGATTTCCAGCTAAAGAATAATAGTTACAGTAAGAACTTTTTGTTAAGGGTTAAAAATAAAAGTACTCTTTAGTAGTAATGAATATTGAACACTAAAAAAGAAAACATTTAATTAAAGTTTGTAAAAGCAGTTTTTTCTAATTCTGATACTTTACTACACTGTTTACTGTTTTTTGTATTTTCTTTGGTTGTGTAATTATACTGGAAAGAATGAATAAAGATGGATCACTGTATTGATAAAACTGATGATGAAGGTGCACACTGTAATATAAATACTATGCAACTCTAAATAAATACAATTCTTATACTCTGTGACGGAGGTTGATCACAATCGATTGACAGTTGCCTGGCAAGATAAACAACAACCTCTCACAAATGTATAACCATTTTCATTCAAATGTTGCGAAATTCGGATTGGTGCAAGGACGTAGGTGTAATCAGCCTTGCCCCATCCCATTTTAAATGAGTATTAACACAGAAATGTGAAATACTAAAACTGTTCCAACTTCGTCTTACTCTAAGGAAAGGTTTACATGACATGTTATGACATGGCCTTTAAAAGAAAGCCACATTTTAAAGAGAAGGATGTTCTGGGCTACGGCGAAATTGGCAAAACAAGATCAATTAAAAAACGTATGTTACAAGGGGATGACTTACCGAGTTCTCAGAGGTGAATCTGAAAGATACTGACGGGATGCCAGAGAAGGCGAGGAAAGGATACGCAGCGTTATCCAACTTCAGAGGCTCCAACCTGGGAAATAAACAAGATGGGTTAGCTTGAGCTGTGCTGGGTGAGGATTTGTAAAATAAAGATGATTGGGAAGTGAACACGTGAGGACGTGATTCTAGCGTGGACGAGGAGGTGATGTATAAACACTGCAGAGACCGGTCAGACTTACACATTTGATTCCATGCTGGGCTTTGCAAATTCAGAAAAGAGAGACCCAGCTTTGTTCGGGGAGTTCACCTGAGGAGGAGATAATGTTTATGCAGGTTAAGCCTTAACATTCACAAAGATATGGAAAGCATTAGGACTACAAAACACGGAGCTTAATTATCCCTGACAACGTGTGTTCTGTTATTCTCATAATCAGAGGAAAACAGCAGCAGTGAGGCAGGCAGCAGCCAAGCCTTCTCTAAATATAAATACCAATATAGAGACCTTTAATATATAACAATCTTGACCTCAGAAAACATTTAAATGTTTGTGTTTCATGATCAGGATGTAATGCAGTGTGTAGGCACTTTTGCCGACGCACATATTTTTGAGTTTTTCAGTTTGACGTGTATTATTTATTTGTTGGTTGGTTGGTTATATTTATTTACGTCATAAATTACAATGTTTAGTTTTAAATTTAGTTTTTATCTTTTGTTTCTTTTTTTTACCAATGACGGGGCACTCTGACACGCGTGCTCCACGTTCGCTTTTCACATGTAAAATTGAATTTATATTTCAAAGGCTTATTATTATAGTTTTATATTATATTTAATATGTAGCATAACGTACGAGATTCCACAGATTCTATAGGTATTAGTATCATCACTGAGCGATCAGAACTCGCGACAGGGGAAGCAAACACAGACGTCACAACACGTAGCTTTACGGAGCATTTACGGGAGATCGTCTCACCTTAGCTGTTATTCTGATCAAAAGTCGTGTTCAATGGCATTAAAACGATAAAAACGCTGCTGAAGGTTAAACCAATGGTTAATCCAATGTGTCTGTCACTTTGAAATCATTACTGATAATCCATCATTCCATTTTTATGTCAAAAACTGAGTTTTTATATTAGCTGCTAATGGTAGCCACCAGAGTGTATCGCAGATTCCGGTTCCGAAGCATTCTGGCTGCACATCACTCTATTCACCAATGGGTAATGTTTAGATGGATTTTAGGAACTTTCCCTCGATTATATTGGCTCTAATGGTTAAAAAGAGATGTCAATCATCAACATCGAACGAGGGGGGCCAGAGATATGGAAAATGCACCCAAATGACCCCAGAAGTGGGTTTCTTTTTCTAAATCTCTCTAAAAAGGTCAAATGTCACTTGTTTTGCATCAATCTTGATACAGGGTACTTATTATATGTTATAGTTTGGATTCCTAAAGCTTTTAGTCTACTAACCCCTCATTCAAGGGTGGTTTTCACTATACAGATGTAGCACTCCAGATAGGACTCCACCCAGCAGATTCCAACCGAAAACCCAGCAGATCCCAGTGGCTGGGGGCGTTGCCAAATTGCTAGAGGGCGTTGCCAAATTTCCCCATTTGTTCAATTACAGGATTTAACCATGAGATGGCGCTTCATTCACAAATACACACAGACAACTTGGTGTTGTAGAACTTAGTTTGTTTGCAATGTTTGCAGCTCTGCAGTTGTGTTTGCTGAAGAGCATTTAATCACTTATTTGTTATGGTTTTCACAGGCTGCTATAACGAAAAAACATCAATATTTTAGATCAAATAAAGTATATCTAATCGTATTATCTTAATTGTAATTCAATAATATATAGTCTTTATATATTAAATAATCATAATGTAAATGTTTACACTTCTTTATTTGTTATGCTCATACTTTTACCTTTACAATAGTTTGCTTTAATGTGCAGTATATTTTTTGTAATATTGTTGTGGTGTACACAGTACAGTAGATCGAAGTAAATCAACTCATACATTATCACGTATTATACAGTAATGTGTTGTATTATTAAGTAATATCATACATTAACCCCATTATAGCAGATGCCACATTGAATGGATGCATTTATGCATCAATAATTACAACGGAGTATTTCTAAATATAAGTTGTACAAATTATAAGTATTTAATACTAATAACATAATGATTAATTTTACTTTCAGATGATAATACTTTTCACTTGGGCGATTGACAATTTTGAATGCAGGACATTTGCTTCGAACACGTCTTTTTACCTAGGTAAATAATCGGAATACTTCTTCCACCTCGGATTTGAACCTGTCACTGTTTTTAAAACTTGAATTAAATGTTTGATATTTCCAGAGACCCTTTCAGACCGGCAATGCTGCCCTGCATGTAATTCCGATTGTCCATCGGAATGTCACAAAAGTCAAAAGTCTCCCATCCCCCTTGGGAGACTTTCTCCACACATTCCGATGGGCAATTATTTGAAACATAAGGCGCGTTCACACCAAGTACTTTGCCGTATTTAGTGCCGGCACTCAGAGCCCCAGCACTTAGTACCCCAGGGCATTTAGTACAGATCGCGTTCACACCGGAGTACTTTTCCCTGAGGGAGGATTACGCAAATGAGCCGCTGACGTCACTTCGTCTTCTTCTGCTTTGGGTTTACTGGCAGGCCGCAAACAACTTCACGGCGTATACTGCCACCCGGAGTCCCCGGCCGGAAGTCCCCGGAGTTGAGGACTGGCTTCAGTAGAAGCTGCTGGGACTCCCAGCAGCTTCTACTGAAGCCTTCCGAGTAAATCGCCAGAACGCCGACACCTCCTCATCTCCACCGCTCCCATGTTTTCTTTTGTGTTGCCATAAGTTAGTCTCTCTGCGTTTGTGCACTCAGCGAATGCTAATGCTAATAATGCTAATGCCAGGATAATAAAATGGCGGCTCAACAAAACATTTCAGAGTTGTACGGGGCGTGGTTTGCAATTCGCCCAGCCAATCAGAACTGGGGCACTTTTTTCCCCAGGAAAGTACCATCTCTCAGCAGGCATAAAAATGGGGGTAAAAGTTCCCGAGATTAAGTGCTCTTTTTGGTGTGAAGGCGACATAAGGGGTACTAACGGAACTAAACTCCGGTGTGAACGCGGCTATAGGCTACTAGGCTACTATCTCTTGTTAACAGACGGGGGATGGTAGAGCTTTGTCACACCGATGATGAATAGTGGATAGGAGAATTCAAAAGGATTTAGGAGAAGAGACTGCAGTGCTTTGAGAATCCGACTGCACTTTCACTATCTACGTATTTATGATGCGCCAGCGGACGTCATGAATGTGCGTCTGCTGCTGTGGGGAAACTACAGTTTTCTACATGATGTATAATAAGAACAACAACAACCCAGCGCTGTATTCTATCTAGATACTTTGCACCGCGCTCCCACTTGTTGTACCTGGCAGAGCAAGAAACACTCCAGCCTTTTATTTAAACTTGTTTAAAACATATCTAAATAAATATGTGTGTCCTGGGCCATAAATGCAATTATGCTGTCAGTTTTCAGATAAAGCCACGGCATCACAATTCTTCTGTATTCTACAGAATCAGCTGTCTGCGGGAGAGAGGAAGAGACAGGTCACTGCATAAATATGCAAGCCCAAATCTACAGTTAACTTTACTGCTGGAGAAGAGAGATCAGGGGTGGGGGGGGGGGGGGGGGGGGGAGAGCTGTGGCTGATGGGCCATTAGGTGTGTAAACAAAGAGAGTCACACACAGCTGATCACCTGAGAGCTGCCGTTTCATTCAGACTATTTAAAAAAAAAAACGGTCTGATTTTAACATTGCACAACAATGAACTCAATGTGTGATGGTTATACTGTAGCAGTAATATTAAACACTAATAATACATTAAACTATTAACAATAGTATAATATTATAGCCCGTTTGCCCATGGTGAGATGACGAGGCTCCATTAAAAATAAACCTCTTTTTAGTGAATTACTGAGTTTGGGCAAGTTAATAACGTTTTAATGAAGTTGACTACAGTATTCATATTTGTCAGTGCTTTCATGTCGATTCGGCGAACATAAACATAAATGATCGTGAAGATGATGATTAAATTATGATTTAAAATCGGTAGTGAGAGCCGTGCTGCATTTCCTCCCGTCGGATGTGATATAAAAACAAACCGATTATTTTTGTAGTTGTAAACTCACGTGGATTAAACTTATTTATTAGTGCTTTCATGTCAATTCGGCGAACATATGATACATTAAATGATCGTGAGGATGATTACAAATTGTTTGTTTGAGCCTGGCTGCATTTCCTGATGAAAAAACAAACCGATGGTTTGTAGTACGCCTACGTGGATTAAACAACATTATTTTTTGTTAAATAAAAACATGGTGATGTTTTAGCACAGAATATGATCCTATCCGTGACATATGGATCTTAAAGATCCGCTATATCAGATACCTGTAGATGTAGTGTGGCAGCTTTTTAATCACTGCTCCCCCTGGTGGATCCATGATCCATTGCAGCTGGTTTCATTATAATTTTATTTATTTATCAAGGGGGCGTATCAAGTCCTGCGGGGGGTTTTCCTTTCAGCAGGGGCCCACCCCGTGCCGATCACGGGCCCACATGGGTAGGGGCGTCCGAAATGAGGTGCTACATCTGCAAGTCATTTTTTCTTTTTGGACGGACACTATCATTTACATTTTTTTTTACTTTCAAATAAAAACATCTATATTGATTCTGACACTTCTACATCCAACTCACAGATGTAACCTTGCTTTGAGAAAAAAGATTATTAATTTACCCCTTTTAGAAGTGAAGTTATGGTCATTTGTTCTGGGCATGTCATTTTCGAGCCTGAGACCTGAAAAACAGGCTCAGGGCTTAACAGGTTAAAGTCTGTGGATTTACCTCCTTCAGAGTGCTCTCGACCAGGCCATGCAGCAAGGGACTGGCTGCCACTTTGAAATGTTTCTGACCTGAAAAAGACAATAAAAAAATGCAGGCATTTGGAAAATCACATATTGCAGGTATACTGGAAACTGTTAATTATTTAAAAGCCTACATAACTGAAGTCAATACCTGTTACAACTCCATCCAGGTTGATGTAAGAGAAGGCTTTCATGCTCAGAGAAGAAAGATAACCCTGGATATACAAAAAAAATGAAGGAAGAACAATCAGGTTTACTTGTGCATAAAAGCTGCTGATCAAGAAAGTACATTGTGCAATTCTCACCTCCAGCCACTCGGTGGCGCCAACACTCCCATATTCTCCAGCGCTCCAGCTGGCAAACACAATGCTTCTCCTCGGCTTGAATCCACCTGCCAGAGAGATAACAAATACACATTAACAGAACGATAAGCGAGAACCTTTTCAATGATTTCAAGCAGAAAGGATCTGACGTGAAGTGTAGATCTATCCAATCAATATTAGAAAAGTGAAAATATGGCATTATTTCACATAAAAAAATAAACATCAGCTCAAGATTTTAATGTCTTGGACATACGGGAGGAATTACAGGTCCAAAATCATCCGTTTTTAATAAGCTCAAAAAAAAGGGAATTGATGTGCTAGCTTTATAAGGACAGTATGACATCATCAAAGGGATGTGCATATAAATGAGTTCTCAATGAAACTGGCGTAACAGCAATGCGCAGATTGTTGAGTCCCCCTCAACAAGAATGTACGGTGGCCGACAGGTGCAAACGCATTATAATGGCCCAAAACACTAAGATAGGGGAACTGATGCAAGTGTAGAAATATCTTCACCAACTTGTCAAAACATGCGCAGAGTTTACTAAAAGTGATGCATAAATCAAACGCTGCAAACAAACAAATGCTGCAAATGAAAAACAATGAAAGGAGCGCAAAATAAAACTGAAACCAGGGGACACAGCCGTTTGGGTTTCTCAGCGTCTTGTTTATGTAGCACTGTTACTAAACGATGTGCATGTTTTGTCAAGTTGGTGAAGACGTTTCTTTATTTGCATGCGTTTTGGCTCATTTGTGTTTTTAGAACTGAATAATTTCTGAAGCTGCAGCGCATTTCTCCCAACAGTGTTTTGGGCCGTTGCAGCGCGTTTGCACTGGTCGGCCCTCGCACGTATCCGCTGGTGATTACTAAACAACTTCATCCCTAACAGAGCCCACTGTAGTCTTCCCCTTTTAACACAACTGGGTCCAAAAACTGAGTAAACCATCTCACACAATCATGAAATGAAAGTTCCCCATCTTGTTTTCCATGTGACTTACACAACCCTTTACTAAAAAAAATATTCTGTGGCACATACAACGGTAACGTCTTTAAAGTAGCCAAAAGTGGAAATTGTGCCCGGAGTGATTGATATTTACCGGACATTAACATTGACATGAACTAAAATGAATAACCAGGTATCGCTGAATCAACTGAGTCTTACCATTCTCCACCATATCTGAGATGGAGCGTGCCAGCTCGACAAGGACGCTGGTACCGACAGTTGACGCGGCAAAACCTGGACCCCATGCGTCCCTCTGTGCACCGATGACCACATATCGATCTATGACAAAAAGACAGAGCCGCGATCATCACTCTTATTCAATACACAGAATTCTGAAATCACAGTACCCGTTGTTGTTAGATACAAATCTTGTTGTACCTGCATCCACAAAGCCTTTGATGACCCCGAAGACATTTACTATCTTTTTCTCCCTGAGCACGTTGTCGACCCCCAAGGTAATAACATCGCTGTCATCCCCAAGTTTGGAGCTTTCCCATTCTTGCGGCGCATTGGCACCCCCCAGCTGCCTGTAGGGTGAAGAAAATGTATATTAACGTGAGCTGCTACAGAGTCAACTGTAGTGCATTGTTTCAGGGGGTCCACAGAGTATTGAGGCATACTGCAGAATGCTCATGGCCATGTTTAGGGTGATGGTCTGGGCCAGGATTTTTGGCAGGCCTGAGGACTGGACGGGTGGGAACTGGGTGTGGTTGAAGGAAGGGAAGCCGGGGGTGTAGGGATCCCCTGAACCAAGGTGGACCTGTGGGATGAAAAGACAGGAGTTTTCGATTGATAAGATTGCTCAAAAGATATGGTTTATAATGTTTTCTCGTCTTCCCAGCAGCCTGAACCCAAGCCTAAAACGTCAACATTTGAAACTAAGAATACTATATGAAAAAAAGGTAATTTACACATTAACTTCTAAACTCTAAAAATCAGACTTATGATGACGTATTAGTTTTAAGACTTAATCTTTTGGGCTAAACATACAATTGCAGGCTCTACTTGAAACATGTTTTTAAGGAAAGAAAAGTAGAGTTGTCATGCTGAATATAAATAATGTTTTGTTCACCATTTTGTTTATTAGTTTGGTTGGGTTTTTTTGTGTTATATTTAAATCATACATTACATTTCCATTGTCTGAATATTGCAGAGAATTCAAATTCTTCTTTTTTCTTGCATAAATTATGTTATGTTATTATCATTAATTATTTGTGTATAAAACTGGCCTACAATCACAATATCATTTATCCAATTATTTCCAGGACAAAATATTGACCAACAAAAATTGTTAAAAGTCTAGTCAATCACAAGATACAATCAAAAAGGGAACGCCTCATCAATAAATTGCTATATGGCACAAATGGGTCTCATCTTCCAACAAAATGTTTCTGAACTGTCCACACTCACATGTCCATAGAGCTGAGTGGATCCACCAATAGAGGATTTAGAGGGATCTGGGTAGATCAGCACAGCAGAAGCACCCATTTTGGCAGCATTGGCTACCTGAAAGAAGAAGAAAAAAAAGGATTTGGAAAGGATTAGTCCACAACAAAATAATTCGTAAAAAATCCACACGCAAAGTAATATTAAGTCATCTTGAATTTCTTTCTCAAACCACCCACCTTCTCAGCAAAGCTGATCCGACCAGTTCTGACCAGCATGACCCTGCCTGTCATGTTGACGTTACGGCTTTTCAGCAACCTCAAGTTCTCCTCCTCCCCGTAAAACGCATACAAGACGGAATCCTTGAACAAAGATTAATAAATGCATTTAGTGTAAAGTTCTGAGTTAAAAAAAACAAAAAACATCTGTAATACCTTCCATGACCCTCATGCAGAATAAATTCATGAAATGCATTCTATAATGCTTAGCACACAAGTTATATACATTATAAGCACTTATTCATAATGCTTTAAAATCATAACACATTACTCAAAAAGCTGGTCACTCCCTTACCTTCTTTGACAGGGTCATATTGTTTTATTATCTGCTATAATTGTAATACATTATAATCTATTGTGCCATTTAAATTACTAGCACTCATTATTTTGCAGATTTTATGATTATTTTCACCCCGAAATGTAATGTTTGAAATGTATTACAACTATGGGAATTGAAATACATATGATCCACGCAACAACACAAGTGTCAGTGAGTGAAAAGCGATTATAAAGTATTATGATACTGACTTTAGAAGTCATTATATAATGAATCACAACTCGTTATACATATTGTATCAAAGCATTTTGAGGATTTATGAGTGCTTAAGACTATAATAAAACTATAAAAGTGGAATTAACAGATTAAAGTGGAATCAACAGATTATAACACATGATAACTATGTTTATAATGCAATATAGACACAGGTGTCATAGAAATGGATTCACTACTCATTTTCTCCTATAGTTTACCGTTATTGTTCCGTTGGCACTGTAGGACAGGAATCCCGTTGGACGCTCCTGCTTCCCCTTGTAACTAAAGCTGTTGGAGCCAGACGCTGGGGGGTCCTGAACCTTAACAAAGTGCTCGTCGGTCCAGGTTTTCATCCCGTACTCTCTGAACCTCTTGACCACCTTCTCTCCCAGGACCTCATCACTCAGAGAACCGGCCCGGTGGTTGTCACTGGAAAACTCTCTAGGACAGGAGGGAATAAAACACGAGGGGAAAAGAGAGACAAGAAAACAGGAAAAGGCTCACTTTTAAAGAGATACTCTTAATCCAGACTCTTAAAAAGGCAACTTTGGGGTTTATATTTACCTAAAGACAGAATCGAATTTGTCTGCAGAGACTTGTTTAGCAAGCAGCTTTTTGACCTTGTCCCAGTTCATGAGGGGGGCAGCACCCGTCTCGATGTCAGCACCGTTGTCAAAAATGACCGTGGAGTCATCACAGGTGGGAGCCAAGTCCTTCTTCCGATGAACCAAGTAGCCAATCAAGTAGCCTGTAAATAGCAGCAGCTTTAAATGAGGAACAGCCAGGCGCACCGAGAGGAACTGAAAGCACTGACGGAAATAAGGACTGACCAGTAGCATTGTATTACTTCCAAAACTGCACAGTCAGAATCTCTTAAAAGTACTGTAATGTATAGTTCTTACTGCAGGAGAAACTTCACCCGTCTAATGCAGTAAATTCATCAAATATTTTATGCAAAAGGCTGACTTGATATAAATGCTTGTAGGTGACACCAGTTGTCATGCCTATTGGCTTAGAGCGGGTCCTAGAAACATCAGTTTACCTATCTGAGACAACGGCCTATAACTGATTTGGTTTTATCCTGTGTGATTTCCCTGTTTCCTTGTAACACTATAGAAAGATAAAGATTGAAATAAAAAAAATGAGTGGCCCCATGATAGATTCTAGAGGAACTCCGAAGGTGTTTTAGAGTCATCCAAACTTCTTATAAGGTGCAGAATCTTCAATCAGCGGCCTCTTACCGATGATAAAGATGAGGAGGGTGGCGACGGCCATGAAGCAAAGGTTCTTTGGTGTGCGCCCAAGCTTTTGAGCCACGTAGGGTTTGCGGTTGGAGTTGTGATTGAGGTGTTCTCCCGCGCCTTTGCCCCCTGTGTCCTCATCCATGTCTGACGACAGCTTCATCTCCACCTGGCTGTTATCCCCTTCCATGTTCTGGGTCAGGTTGAAACGTGTGTAGGAGTGAGGCTCCCCGTTAAACTGTGATAAGAGAAAGATAGGAGAAAATAGGGTTTATTATTTGGTTTGGGTTTAATCTTTATTAAAAAAAGGAAGCAGGACATTAGCTGGAATAAAAGGTTCCCCTTTAAATGCTCCAACATCAGTATTTGGTATTACTTTCTAAATGTGCGTCAAATAAAAAATGAACAAACTAATTTTAGCGAATGACTTTAATAATGTAAATCCTTTATAATGCCTAGATAATAAGTAACACGGACCAACTTTTATCTTGCTAGGTTGTGAGAAATCTCTTTTTCCAGGATGAGTTGATTTGTTCTTTAAGCTTGCATTCATCAGAAAGACCTCTCCAATGAAATCATTCGACTACTTAGCTTCTGGAAAAAAAGTCCCCGGAACTTCTGGCCTACTGTATAAACTGCACCAATTTAAGTTTATTTGTATTTTTAAGTAAAATAAGTAGCAAAACACCCACATTATGTATCAGTTTCATTTCACTTTCATTATCGCTCACTCTTTCTACATTTCTTTCTCCTTTCTCTGTCATGTGTTCAAAGTAGCAAACTTAGCGTAGCATTCACTGTGCGCTGATGTGATCTGAACATTTTACATTCGGCAAACTGACTTTGGTTTCTTCAAAATCATGGTTAGGCATTCAGGCAGACACTCTAGAAAGAACACAATCTCCTAATGTGACTATAAGAATCAAAAATCTATTTTTTTATCAATAATATGCACAAATATAGAATGTCAAACAAGCATATTACAGAATTACCTTCAAGCCTTTGTTTCTGGAGAGCTACAATAGAATGATGGTAGATGACTGAGAATGAGAAGTACAGTACGAAGAGCTGCCTTGAGAGACTACCCTCGAGGACAATGGAGAACACTCCCTCTTTCTATCTTTTTTGTTGTTGTAATTTGTCCAAAAGTCTGACGTAGTTCACCATTGGTGGAACCAAAATGTAATTTTGGTTCATTTTCAGTTTCCTTTACTCGAAAGTGGTACAGTTTTACTCAAGCTTCATTTAAATAATATGCAACAATAACTGCACTCTTCAGGATACCCTTTCAGCATGGTGAGGTAAAGTCATATTGATTTGTTCCCAGGATGAAAAAACATTAAAATTATACAATACAGGCATTTATAATGACACTCATTTCACGTGGTAACAAGGAAATTAAGCATGAAGTATTATGTTGTAATACTCACAATTTTAGATATTGTTGACCTTGCCTGGTCCATGGTTGCGTCAATCTAAAAGAGGAAAACAAACAAGGATATAATTAGTGAAGAGTCAGGCCAAAAGATAGGTTATTTGTCATTTTTCTATGTGGTTGAGGCTTTAAGAAAAGATTAAACTCAATCTTAAAGGGTCCCTATTATGCTCTTTGGGGTTTTCCCCTTCCCTGTAGTGAGTTATATACGTTTTTGTGCATGTAAATGGTCTGCAAATGGTCAGTTTCTCTCTCACACACTCCCCCTGCCTGAAATGCCTCATTGGACTCCTTTGTTTACTTCTGTAACATAACTATTGGCGCGTTTCCACTACAGCGCGGAGCACGGTTTAAGAGGGCTGTGACGTCAGCGGCCCGTCTTTGGTTGCGTTTCCACTTGGCCTAGTACCGGCCGGCGGGTCCTAATTCACAGTTTTTCTGGCCTCATAAAATCGCGGGTCCAGGGCCAGAGACAACGAGGCTGAGTCGGGCTGAGTATGCTAAACTAGAGAGAGCGTCGCTGGCAAGGGGGCTACAACTACAACAAGATGAACATATTTGACCGTGATTTAATTGTAATACACGTTTCAAAATGATGCCGAAGTAACAACATACTGATACCGGTTAGTAAAAACCATGAATTAATGCTTTGTCAAGTCTGCAGACAGACGGCAGGCGAAAAACCTTTTAAAATGCGTGTTTTCTAAATGGAGATTGGCTAAGCTAACGCAGTATATGCTCCGACCGTCCACGCTCACAACAACGGCCTATACAGACATAAATAAAGCAGCGACTGTATTCACCATGACACAGGCAGTCTGTGGTTTGTACTTGTTTAACTTTTGTCTAGTTTCTGAACAGATATGAGGAGCTGTGAGCTCTGAGTGCTAACAGCTAACGGCTGTGTTGATTTTCTGGGGTCCTCTGAAGATCACGTCACGGCTCCGCCTACACTGCGTTACTATAGATACTACCCCAGTTCCTAAACTGTAATGGAAATGCGCCATAAAGTGAGCCAGTCCTAACGAGGCCCAGCCATACCGAGCGGGGCCGAGCGAGGCCGTGTAGTGGAAACGCGCCATTAGTAACACTTGCGCTTCTGTTGGCTAGCGCTCCAACACATTGTACGTGATAGAGATTTCCCGCCCTTTAGCCTAAGCAGTTGACAATCACAACAGAGCCTGCTAGCTAACCTATCAGAGCAGTTTTCAGACAAAGGGTGGAAAAAGGGGGTGCAGCAGGAAAAGAACTCACTTTTTGAAGCACAAAATACAAATATGAACATGAAAATGTGCATATGTCCCATTAAACATGAATCCCCTATAGACTTGATGGCTATTCATAAAATAAGCTTTTCAGGAGAACAATTTTCAGGTTTTCAAGGGATGAGTGTGTTTTACTGAAATAATAGATTTGTTGTATAATATAACTCACTTTTTCAGGTTTAATTTCAATACAGTGTGTACAGTGTTACCGTTTCACCTCTGGGAATAATGAGGTGTCCAAAGAACACGTCCCACCTCTTGTCCAAACATCCACGGGGTTTCCTTTTCTGCTAACTTGAAAGGCAGCACTGTTCCTACACAAAAGACCAGTGTCCAGCAGGGGTCAACACAGACACCATGCCTCCATGTGAACTCCTTTGCCACGAAAATACAATAACTAGCTTCAATTCCAAAGAGGAGCGAAACAAAGCAGGGTTTCAATTTTTCTGAAGAAACAAGACCTGAAATGCAAGTCTTCTGTACATATTTTCTTTCATATAGTATAGCCATATCAGTGAAATAAGAACTATGCATGTGTTGGCCCTCAGGGGAAAGGCTGGTTATGAGAGGAGCTTCAGCTACAGAGGGCCAACAATCCCGTAACTCTTTTGTTTGATCAAAAACGACTTAACTCGCAAATGCGCTTTGTGACACAAGTGACGGTACGCATTTCAGATTGTTGCCGCGCATGCGTACCTGCGTACCAGTTATGTGCACCCCTGCTTATAATCATACAACCATCAGTAGAATCATCACATCAAACCAAAATGCACATGTAATTCACATAAGAGATACTATGTGACAGTATAGAATTTCTGTCCTCTCAGCGGAAATTGATTTGCTGATATTTGACACAGCAAAGTCATTTCGTGGCATTCTACTGCTGTTTTGCCAAAGCAGGCTAAGGGTTTTTCTTTTGTAACAATTGTGAGAATTTTCTGAATACAACCGACTACAGAGCCGGAATCACTATATAAGCCAATTCCAAAGGTCACCAAATACAATGCAACTATTGATTAAGCTTTACAAAATGTGGCATGGGTTTGTAATGTAAGAAACACAAAAATAGCCACCTAACTCCACAAATATCCAAAAACAATAGGCCTGCTTACCACTCCAACAGTACATAACAGCCTAATAATGACAGCTTAACGTGACCTTCTCTATATCGCCTCGTTCACACAATAAATCAACAATACAAATACAACTACAGATTGTATAAGCATTTAGTTCAAATGCGATTTAAAATGCTCTCAGGTTTTACACCTCTTATGGAATGTAGACTACATTTATTATTACGGAGTTTATGTCCGAGCCGAGATATGCAAAATACACCGCATGTAGTACGAGACAAACCTCCGCTGTACAAAATACAGTAAAACTATGGTCGCAGGCCCAAGTTTAACTCTCTGAGGTCTAAGCCCTTTTTTCACATGTTAGGCTCGCCTGGGCTTTTTTGAAAAAATGCTATTAAAACATGAACCTTGGTGACCATCGGGCTGGCCTGCATGGTCTGCCTACAAAACTAAAATAAAAAAACGTTTATGCAGCCCCAACAACAGCCTCTGATCATCAACAGACTTCATGGAAAGCTTCATTGGATGCATATATTAGATAATAATCTCTATCTCACTCCTAAAACATCTAAATCTACTTTCAGCATGGATAAATGTTCATAAAATACATCCATTGTTTGTTTTATACGCTTCTTGAAATCTAAAAAAATAACACATCGTTTTTCTAGAACAGATTACAAATCGCCTAAAAATGGTACAAACAAGTGGCAACATGTGTGACGAAGGTGTTGCGCTGGGCTATATCATGCAATCGAAAGTGAGAAAGCTCGCTCCATTGTGGAGATATTCCTTAAATGGATAAGTGTGGGGTTTTTAATGATGGTATTTGTGAGATTTGTTAAAGTAATAAGCAGGTTTTGACCCATCTGGCTTACCATATTCAGCTTCACTGCAACCATAGTTGAAGTGATAGGTCTGAATAATCAACACCAAATGAAACTATACTACTGCAGTGACATTTATACCCATTTGGGAATTAACTAATGAACAACAAGTGGTATGCTACAGAAAAATAACAGTGGCATCACTTCCTTGTTCGCCATAATAGCTCTTTGTTGGAAAGGCTTTCTTTTTTAATATAGCTTGAACAAAGGAGACATTAACAATAGAAGTAGTATAAAGTAACACCACGTTTCTACAACTAATGCACCAGGCAACAGTGTAGACAGCACGTATGTGGGTGTGAACTAAAGCTGTCTAACAGGTAACAGGGCATCACTCGACAACAATAGGCCATATAACACGACTAGATCATTGTACTTGTTTGCCCTTATCTTAATCTCCTGGCTGTATGTAGTTCTGTTCATGATTTTTTTAACAATGTATTCTTAAATATATACGAATGGGTGAAGGAATATCAGCACCGGACATGATCAAGAAGGGAAAATAAAAAAGGCAGTATTTCCGCTAAAAGGATATCGTTTTCCCAAATGTGGCTTCAAAGAGTGGGATGTTTTTTCAATACCGATAATTTGGTACCAAGTCGATGAAAAAATTATAAACAATTGACGGGGACGGTATAAAACGGGACGCAGAGAAATCACAAGTGTCCCCTCCAACGTTTTTTTTCTCTGCTAAGGCTACAAAGACAGACATTCCTACTGTTGTGTGTGCGTATAGGAGGATTTTACTGATAAGAGTGCTCTTTACCTCCTATCTTGTCTGACCTCCAGCAACAAAACAGAACACAAATTCTCAAATAACCTGTTCTTATCTAGCCAAGTAGATAATTATATAGGTCAAACCATTACAACACGGTTCAGCCTTTGGACTGATTCAAACACTGCTTTGTTGACAGGAGGCTCAAGCACAAACCATTACGGCCCGTCCACACAGCGGCGTGCGTTGAAGCTTCAACGCTTCTGCCCATTCACTTTGAATGGGGTGACGTCACACTTTGCCGAACTGCATTGTGGGAGCGTTGCTTCGCTTTGCTCGCGTTGCTCGCTTCAAAAGTTGAGCAATGTTCAACTTTTGAAGCTTCGGCGGAAGCGTCAGCCAATCAAATCATATGCCAGTACAAGCTCTAGCCCAGGGGTCACCAAACTTTTTTAGGGTGAGGGCTACTTTCAAAAAATAAAACAAGTCGGGGGCTACTTTTACTCCTCTTTTTTTTGTTTTTTGCAGTGTATATATTTAGCACATTTTAACATTATAATATGCTGACCTTTAACCTTTGTGTGCTGTTTGGGTCTGTGGGACCCGTTTTCAGGGTTTATTAAAAGAACATGTATGCAATTTAATTATTTTAACCTGCTTTATTTGGGGGTGGACGGGCTTCACCTCCTCTAGGGGGTCCTCACCTCCTCAAGGGGGGTCCTCACCTCCTCAAGGGGGGTCCGGGGGCATGTTGAAGTGAAATGCATCAATCTGGTACACTTTGAGCACAACATGAATGCATGGATACAGCTCTCAACACTCAGATGAAAGGGAGCTGTATACTTTTCAATAATCCAAACATCTTTAGAATATGATCACAACCAATAACAAATCATTTAAACTGGTTTATTCTTATCTTATGTTACCTAGTTACATTCTTTCTTTTCATTTATGCATATTTTACTAATCACTCCCCTTTCAAACTGTTTTTTGTTTTTTTTACTGTCCTATAGTACACATTGGAATGATTTCTTACTTTATCTATATTAAATAGATAAAGGTGAGCTCTCTCTCTCGCTCTCCCTCTCTCTCTCTCCCTT